GTTAGAGCGCGAGGATTGCCGGAATTTATAAGCCATGTTCACATCGCTTTTATTGAACGAATTTAATGGTATCTGTCGGCATATGAAACACAATATTTGTCATAAATGTTTAGGCGCACGATGAGGGGCAATTACTCGCGTGGTTTTCATGGGCACTTATTACGGGCTGAAAAGCTATACAGATGAGTGGCGATAATCCGAAACAAGCACCGGGGCGATTCGCGGATTGTTGTCAACAGCGTTTCACGACGAAAATCGAGAGCGTTTTTCTCGACGAATCGCCTCATTTCACGCAAATTGCGCGTTTTTCTACGCCCGCGGTCGCGCCGGGTGGAAAACTGTTCGCGTATTTCGCGCAACGAGCGAGGTAGATAGCTAGCCTAGCATCGCTGCGCAGCATTCCTCGCGTGTGCGTTAGAACCACGCATCGCTGGCCACGTCATAGAACGCCTATCGCTGGCCACTAGTGAGCAGAGAGAGAGAGAGAGATAGAGAGACGCATGGCTAACACGCGGATAACGCTCGTGTCTGCCTATCATCTACCGCACAGTGGCTCTTTTGTGAAAAAGCGCGCGCGTCGTGCGCTCCCGGTCTCCGCTCGGTCAACTCCGGATTTGCCGGACCGAGTTGCCGCGACGTCCGATGACGCAGTGAGAGGGTTTAGCCTCGCACTGTCGCGAGTTCTGCGCACACACGGCGGGGCGTGTTGGCGGGAGAGTGTTATAAAACAATACGTACACTAGATTAGCTCCTGCTGCCGGTATAGTCATAACACATCTCTGTCAATCAACGCCTCTTCTACACAATAGCGGCTTTGTGCGCAGGGCAGACGGCGATATTGCGCCCACCGCTATATAGACAACCACTGCGCTAACGTATATATACATTTATATATATGACGATTTCTCAACCCGTGGTGGCCTTCTATGGTGGTTAGAATCATATCAAATGTCGATGGGTTTTCACTCTCTGCAACAGCGTAACGCTAGCGGTGCGTGCCGCCCGGCGGCGTCTCACAATACCTAACTTGTTATGAGTAATTATCATATGATTAATCGCACAAAAGGTAGACACTGAGAGAGAGAGAGAGAGAGGCACAAAGCCGAACCGGGCGAGCTCTTAGCTCGTGATGCGGCTCGTGCATCAGAACGTGCCTCGGGGATATGTAAGACAATGTAGGTGGTCCCTCGTCGTCCGCGTATCTGCATAAACGCCAAACACATGCAAGATTCCGTGTGTGTTCGCTACACGAAACACGAACATACGGGCGTATTGGACAGACATTGCATGCTGAGCTCGGGCTATGTCCCTTTATATGGAAAATATATATAAGGGAACAACAGTAAATACTACTCATTATCTTAATAGTAATCATGACTAATATATATATATATATATATATATAATATAAAGAAACCAATATAAAAAACATATAATATTCTAAAGCATTGTAAAGGGATCAAGATAAGAAATGCCGATTAATTCTAGTCTAAATCGTATTGTCTTGTGTCTCATCATACATGTAACAAAGAGATTTGTTAGGTGCACACTGCGACGACAGTACGTGCATGGTACACGGCGAAAGACATCGGAAAAGGGTTAACAAAGTTAACTAAGAGGAAGGGGCTGTGAAATTTATGCCGAAATGACATTGTTAGGATTTACATCTATAGCAGTGGGTTACTATGCATTGCTCTAGGCGTATCCTCTTTTCACAGCATCCCAACTATCGAACCACTACACAGTTTTTCTTAGATAGCTGGTGCTAACAGATGTATCAGGCAGTTTCTGGTAAGTTTAGCAGGTTTATACTTTGTCGAGGAGGATATACGCAGAAGGCATAAAAGTTTCGGCGAAGGATACAACTGCGGCTCTTTTCGTTGTGTTATGATGCATTCATATCCAGTTTTCTATGCTATAACTGCATGAATCTTAGTGTTTTTCAAGTTAGTGTAATCAGTGATATATCCGCTGTGACTATATTTCGCAATATTTTATTCGGATTGAGCGTTTCTGAGCAAGAATTTCGTAGTAAAAACTTTAAAGGAGCAGAGCGTAGTTTGTAGTTGTTTGCGATACAGGTCGAATGAGTGTCGCCGTGTGAACACTCTCACCTGCGCAACGAAAACCAAGATGTGATAATAACACTTATCTACGTAATGCGATTAGCCCATTTCAAAACCCGAGTCACTCGTGGTGCACGGTGCCGTCGCACCTGTAGCTTGTGCAAAGATGTGCATTTGTCGACACTCGTGCGCCACAATTAGCGTGTCGCTATCGCCATTTTAATCGGTTTATAATAAGCGGGAAAACGCAAAAAGCGAAGCGATATAGGAGCGCGACGTTGGCCTTGGTTCCTAAGTGCATCTTCCCCACCTGCAGCTACACCGACAATGCTGACAGGCGCGCTAATCGGCTTTTATACTAGCGCGCTCTTTCTCTCTCTCTCTCTCTCTCTCTCTCTGGCTCTCTGACTGTCCGTCGGTCTCTCTCTCTCTCTCTCTCTGGCTCTCTGACTGTCCGTCGGTCTCTCTCTCTCTCTCTTTCTCTCTTTCTCTCTCTCCATCATTCTATACATCTATTAATTACACTTCACACAATAAACAACAAAACCAGCAAAAAAGACATTGTAATAGTCTTCTATCTGCGACCTTATGGTATTGTTAGAGTAATCTTGAAATTTCAATGCGCTAAAATTGAAAAGGGGGTTGTAAAGACTCGTGAGGCGTTGAGAACCAGCCTTGCGGGCTCAGCCATATAGACGTTTGGAATCAGTCTTGGGTATATACGGGTATATATCACACTGGCTGTTCGATGCAAACAGGGGGTGATGTGTTTAATGACCTGAAATGGCTACATATCGGTTGTGTCATTAGCACACAAAACAGCTGAGTATTCGGTAGTGTCGACATTAATTATACAATGAACCGTCAATTATGGCACGACCTCACATCCCCCCTGTCACGCGGCCCAGGTGTGGGCACAACAGACACATCCACGCGCACGCTCACACCCACGCACACACATACGCGCGCACGCGCACATTCCCTCTTTCAGGCACGGGACTGAAAGGATCCATCAAAGACTGAGAGACTGCATTCTAGCACACTGTCCGAACTAATTAAGTTGTGTTAAATTATATTAATTACGCTATTCTATTTTTGGAGCTACTTTATATCAAATCTCTTATTCTTATTAGCACTTGGTCTCATTAGCACCGGCATTAGAATTAGCATTGGTCTTATTAGCACTACGCTCTTGGTCGTATTTCAATAACATACTGTCTTACATGTAGCCCATAGGACTGCTATCCCGCTCCTTCGCGATACCTACACTATAAATTAAATGTGTATTTTTGTGGTAAGCGCACTCAGCCGTACTTCTAGTTCAACACAGCAAGATAAAAATCGTTTACACTCATTCGCGTCCTTCACTTTTCCTATAGGAATAGCCATGGGCATTACAATGCCACTGTTTTGTGTACGTTTACTCGGCAGATAGCTCGACAATTCGCTCAAACGCAATTACGCTTCAAGAGCCGCAAACACGATCATATTGTTCGAAAATTCGCGTTCTACTATGAAATCCCCTCCGCGCATTGTTACGCACGAGCAGAGCGTCGGTTATAACGTCAAATCTTTATAATAAACTAGGAAAAACACACGCATCTAATTGCGAGCGTGTTCCACAACGTGAATAAAATTGATGGGCCGACCCACTCCCCGCTCTCTATCGCATCGCCATTTCTCGCTGCAAGCAGCAAAGTTCAACACCTCTGAACGCCTTTGTTCCCTTGAGTATACACGTTACTGCTCAAATTTGCTCCCCCGATGGCACTTCCTGTCAATTGTGGGACAAAATGGACCATCAGCGTTTTTGCCTATAAATGTCGCTCATTTAACAGTTAAACCGAATGAGTTTTTACGCTGTCATCGCGTTAAATAATAGCTCGAATAAACAGCTTTCGTGTTTCGAACGATAGGATTGTTTTAGTAGTAGATTTTTTATATTGTCGCCAAAACTACCGGCAGAAATGATAGATAATTCGCTCTCGCGTTGTAACAGCGAGGCCTACAAAAAACAAAACGCGCACAAATAAACTACAGAAAATTTATAACACGTATCATTTATATTAAAATCCCGATACACACACGCACGCACCGCGACCGACACACACACGCGCACGCAAGTACACACGCACGCACATATACACGCATACATGTGTGTGCGCGCGTGCGTGCATGCATGAGAACATGCGTGTATAGCTTTAACGCTAGCCGTCTGTTTATGCACGTGCACAATGGAAGGAACTCGGGTTATCTACCCATAATGCCGATCACAATACATGAAAAGGTCGAAAAATGCAAAACCGCGATGATATCCGAATTACGCACTATCAAGAATAGATAAAACCATCATTATACTTTTTTGCACTATGAGTAAGCGCACAACAATAACGTGCAATAGAATTTCCCCCAATAGCTCCCTTATTGACGCGAATTCTCCCGTTTCGCGTGTATATCATGATCAAATCCCTATTTATCGTCTCGCTATAATTCTTTTTTTTGCACGCGCGAAGTAACCGTCATCCCGGCGTCGGCGATAAAGCGTCACGTATCGAAAACGATTGGCGTCGGCCGTTTGCGCAGATATTCACGAGTTTACGGCGAGTTTTCGCATCCATCCATCACGCCTGCTCGCTCTCAGTGCTGGCCCTCGAGCAACCCTGCAAGGTTAGCTCCTGAAAAACTCTCGCCATTGCAAGCTGCGTCGCGTCTGAGCGCATGCGCGCGTGCGTACGTGCGTGCGCGCATTTCCGGTGAGCCGGAGTTGCTCATTCAGCGAGTAATGGCGGACGATTTCCGAAAACAAAACGACACCGGGAAAACATTTTAGAAGCAAAAACTCATCGCGACTTCCTTCCACTCGCGTTCAGAGAGTGACTCTGCACATTTTTCGAACTTGCGAGCTGCCGCGTGAGATACTGACATACAGAGCCGTTATGATCCGTTCTTGTTTATTGGAATAACATTATTTTATCACGTAAAAATGGTTCGTTTTCGAAATAACTTCAAAGCATATATACTGCCGAGGCAGTTTCAACAGCAAATCTGCTTGGTCACAATGCCATGATATATGTACATACACACGCGCGTGCACGCACACAAACACACGCACGCACGCGAAGACGAGGCCTACACACTGATCACAATGACGGCTCTAATCCAGCGAACAGACCGCTTGGATGGAAGATGGTGCAAACCATAAATAGAATCATATACTATCTATTTCTACCGTGCAAACAATAACCAGCGTGATGTAGGACCGCGCTGACCAGCCATGACTGGTAGCCGTGTAGAGAGGACAGGTGGAAATTACCAAGCAGCCCCACGCTGCGAAATGAAGCAGACTGGTGCTAAACATGATAACTACGTTAAGCGTCGGCTAAATGCACGGCCGCCCCTTGTTAGCCACTTGTTATCTGATTAGCGACCAATTAGAATGTGTAGCTTGCAGACGACAAGTAGAGCTCCATTAAAACTCATCCACACTACAATCAACCCAGCAATCTAGCCCTGAAACGCTTGGCCTCCGTATGAAGAGGAATCGTTAAAGAGGATTTGTTATTAGGGTTTTAGGGATGGAAACGAATAAACGCTCGGCAAGTTGATATCACGGTCAAAAGCTGAAAGACAAATAGCAGAAACAATTACGCACGATTCGCACAGGGAAGGATGCTTTTAAACAATTGCTTTACATAGACCTCTCTTTATATATAACAACGTTACCTGACAGCTAGACCGGGCAATGTTTGGTTGAGATTGGATCTCTTTGGATTGCTCTGCCTATCTGTCTGTTTGTCAGTCAGATGGCGACCCTGTGTATCTGTCTGTCAGTTAGTATATGTCCGCCTCTCCAATCAGAAATGAATTATATATCAATGGACACAGTCAATGAGAAAATTGACATAATACTGTTGAGCAGCATAAAATATCATATTATATGGATATAAAAATTACCTCTTATAGTTCACAAATACAAATTAACTCTACGAACACACATTCACACATTAATCAGTCTCTAACAGATTCTACAGTAACATTTTCTAGGATATTCAGTACTAATTATAACAAGTATATCACATATTCATGGCAATTAAGAAAAGCTTATTATATGCATTATATTATGGGAGAATAAAAACGTTGTCTCTCATTAGTTCTCCTAAACTTGATGATAATTAACAATATCATTTTACTGTAACACTAAAATCAGCAGTTAGATATTATTTAATGACAATTTTCCTCACGTATACTATTAACCGTTTGAAATACGAATAGAAAATCAATAAGCTATCCATTATTTTTAAGTAATTTCTTTGATATCCTCTAACAATTCGCAAGTGATATCTACTAGGATATGCAATTATATATATATATATATATATGCGTGTATATAAAATATAAATTAATTTCTAGGCAAAAGAAAAAACATTCTTACACAATCACATATTGGACTAGAAAAATTAATGACTAATTTCGGAACAAATTACCAAGCACACTTTTAAGATACTTGCACCTCTAAGCCCACACCTGCAAGGTCAACTAAACTGGGGAGGGCAAAGTTTTTGCATTCGTATACCCGCAGTCACATAGTCGGTATAGTTGGCAGCTTCATTCTATTAGTATCTGCTAGTGACTGCTAGTGCTGGAAGTGACCACAAACGGAGAGACAAGATGACAGTTGGGTTGACTCCATCCAGGTCACCTAAAATAAAGCAGAGTGAATGAATAAATATATAATTACATTCACCTGTGCATCTGATAATCCCCGTCTATCCTATCGATCTATTGCTGCTCGCGCGGCTATACCAATTATAGTTACAATGTATGTTAAACAAGTGCCGCAGAGCGACAGCGCTCATCTAACGTCTGTTGCTACGATTATAAACGTAAAATATCAGTCGTGCGTAGTACCACATTTGTTAGGCGCAGATATGCAGACACGCAGTTGCGTACACATCATTGTTAGGACACGCCCCACTATCGTAGATGGAGGGGGGGGGGGTGGGGGAGGCGTGGGGGAAGGCAGGGGGAGGGGTGGGGGGGGAAGGGTTGAGGGTGGGGGGATGGGGGCTTCTATAGCAAAAGCAGTCTCACTCCTTTGTTAACAGTCAACAAATCCATGTTTTAACCTCCCTTGAGGGTCAAAAGGTTTATCAGACACTTACTCTTCGCACGTCGTGAAAGCATTATTCATGGGTCCTTTCAATTCAAGCCATAAAATGATAGGTCACCGCTGAAAAAAGTTTTTCATATCGCTCGGTCACACCATGTCTCTAGAAAATGTATAAATCTGCCCTGTGCCCATTGACCTTTGACCTGTGACCTCCAATTTCGGCACAGTGATGGCTTTTCCTACCATGATGCTATACACCGACTATCACGAGCCTAGGTCGGCGCGTTTAGATTTTGTGCGCATTCTGCATTTCCTCCCTTACCTTAAGTTAAGGAGGGAATGTTCCCCCTTCTTTACACCTCTTACCTTTGACCTTTGACCCCCAGCTTCGACATCCCACTCGTTTTCGGATTACCCCCCACGTCCGAATATCGTGACCGTACGGTCGAGCCGTTTAGATTTTGTGCCCAATGTTGACGGCGACGGACGCTCCGCGGACGGACGGTACGGCGGACGGACGATCATGCGATTCTACAAGCTGCATCTGACTATGTCAGATTAGCTAAAAACACACCAGTGGAGCCACCTAGGGCTTGCTCTATAGAAGAGAGAACTCTCTCTTCACTTCTATGGCTTGCTCAGGCCTCTTGTTCCAGCGTGTACTCACAATGATACTTCTCAGCTTTTATGAATAATCAACAGAGCAATGCACTATCCACACACACGCACGTACGCTCGCACGCACGCGCACAAACACACACACATACACACATATATTCAACACGCAGGTAACGTTAAACTAAGAAAGCATACGCTAGCTGAGACCAAATTTGTCTCAATTGTGCAATTTTCTAAATCCACATCAACTGCTTTGTTCAATATGCATAATCAAATGCACAAATATCGCATACCTATGCGTTTTCATGTTCTCTCATGATATATATTCTTACATACTAATGGCTAAAAATATGATTTCTGGAGTATAATTGTAGCTGATATGCTTAACAGCATTAAATTATTAGTCATCTGGTTACAGACTTATTTTTTACAGACAAACTGTCCCCACATTTTTGCAAACGTTGAAAGCTAAACGTCTGCAAACGTCGGCACAGCACCACGGCGCTTACATAATAACATCAAGAGTGTATAATATAGAATCTGATATATCTATATTATACACTCCTGATGTTATTATACACAGCTCAGTGCACAGTACAGAAAACTACTAACAATTATTGGCTAGTAGCGCCATCTGTAGTAGCCAACCGCAATTATAATCTCCTGTGTTACTTCTTGGCAAAGAAAACGAATAATCTGGAGTTTTTATGATTATCCTCAATTCTCTTAACTAAGGTTTCTTGCGTAAATGTGATAACATGTACACAGGAATACACTAACAGGCTCATCTCCTACCTTCCCCACCCACAAACACACACACACACACACACACACACTATCTCTTTCTCTCTCTCATCCATTTACTCTCATTAAAACACTCGTGCTCATTTACACCGCTGCTCTTTCCAGTCTACCTATCAATGACCCTCTCTTTTTACTACACGCCCTTTTCACTCTATTATTCACTCAGCCCTATATATTCATAGTATATACCACTATCTACGTACTACACACCAATATCTACATAGAATAGGCCATTCACCCTGCCAGCCACTGCTTAAAGAAGGCCTGCATCTCATCTCGTTGTTGACTGCTGCCATTGTTTACTGTTGTCACGATCGCCTGTGGCTGAACAAACCGGACAAAGCGTCTCAGTTCGGAGAAACTGCTATGTTCGCTGTACGGTATACCTGCAACAAGAGACAATGTGTAGAGATGATGCTGTCACGCGCTGAACAACGTTGCTGCCAAGAACAAGAAGCAGACGCGAGTGAAGTGGAAGCGTGGACCGTCTCTACAGGTGCAGATCTATTGCACTACCCCATGCAGATTCAACCTGCTGGTGTTTCGAAAGTGGAGGCCTGGACCATCTCTTGGATACACAGATCATCTACCACTACCCTGTGTGGATTCAATGACCTTATAAATTGTTGCCACTGGGCTTAAAAGTTCGCAAGGAGTAAGCAGTACGGTTGCTGTCATACTAGAGTTGTGTTTCAGAGGAACAGGAGATTGATAACATCCTTTACACACCGAATTCTTTGGAATAGTCATGCTTTTTGTCGTGTTATTATTGAGTGGCCATCGGCAAATAACGCCTGACGAATCCAGTCAGATCATGTGTTCAATTCTAATTGGTTCGTACAAGCAAACAACTTTCCACCACGTGAGTGTGCATTGGGCAGAACTGACCAGAGTCTCGGGCAAAAGAGCTGTTCCAAGTTTCAAATTACGGTGGTTTTCGTGGATTGTGTTATAAGGGATTCGACTGAACTATAGAATATATGTATATGTATATGTATGTGTGTATATATATGTACTCTAGGTATATATGTATGTCAAATATAGATTTCAGCAATTTGTCACCACGAGTATCAATGCAATCCCTCACTCACCAACAATGGAAACCTTGCCAGTCTTCACGGGTTTAATGCCGGCCAGGCTGCGTTTATTACCAGCAGATCGGTGAGTCCAGCCAGTGGGCTTAAATGCCAGCACACTGCTGAAGTGTGACCTCAGTCTGTGTCTGTCCAGTCTCGCAGCAAGAGCCTGCAAATTAAAATTACCAAAATCTTGTGACTTTGAAATCACATTTGTCCTTTAGCATTAGCACTTGAAGCATCATTTTTAGCAGAGATTACAGGCTGTCACAGTGCAGTTAAATAAATGATATTAAAAAAAGGATCCCATACAATATATATAGTACAGAGTAAAAGACAGTAAGAAGTACAAACTTCACTTTACTATGGAGCCAACGACAAGTGCCGTGGTCACCCTCCTGTCAGCTATGCCTGGTTTGTCTCAGTGCCCTGCCCATGAAGTGCATGTTGTACAAGTATCTCTCTCTTTCCTACTTTGAAATTTATAATAAAAGGTAAGTTGCCTTGCTAACCCTTAATTGTAGGTAACGTTCATCTTATTGCACCTCGAAATTGACGTGGTGCCTAAAAATTTCGGCTCAAACCCAAGGCAACACATTCCTTGCTCTAATCAGAATAAAAATTCAACTTCTTGATACGTAGTAGGTGGGTGATACATGTAAGTCTAGTACCGTTGCTGTGACCTGGGCCATGGGCACTACATGGACACGTGGCACATCCCTGGGAGAAGCGAGCTTGCTCATCAGCTCTGGATCCTCCATGCATTTCAGTATGGATCGCTTAGACCAGGCTACGCTGATCTTGCTGTTCAGAGCATCCGCTATGGCTGTAAAACCATGCCAAACTAGTGGGAACTACATAACCATGTTATATATACAGCTGGAGATTGCTTCGCTAACATAATGCACAATCATCGGATTTCTCTTTATAACATTGGAAATTGTTGACCCAGTAAACGTTTTAGATATATCTTGAAAATAAATGACATTATACAGCATCTTTTTTGCACGTTTGACACAATGATGATCACTATCATTATATTTGTTAATTAATATTATTCCTTCACTTTTTTTCCATCCTGACAGGACCGAGCTATTAATAGTATTTTAGTAATAAAAGAAAAAAGTAATCTGGTAGTGCTGAAATGTCTACGTGGAATAAAATAGCACAAAGTGAAATTAATAGCGTCTTAGCATGGTGTAGCTCACCTACGAAAACCTTCTCCTTTCCAATCTGGTAAGTTCCACAGACAATCATGGTACGGGGGTCCATGGCAACAGCACTTGTCGCCAGGGAAACAGCATGGTTAATCACTTCCTGCTGATCTGGGAAGTCATGGGCCTGACTACAGTAGCTGGAAGATGGGACACACACAAATTAAGCATAGTGATAGTATCACTGAATTACAGATGTCAATAGTTCTTTTTCGTCTTTCTGTCTCTATTCGTGGAGCATATGGCTTTCTTACCTCTTACCTGTGTTGATTTGCTTTCCATAAAAGACTCATTCTGACTAGAGACTCAAGACAAATAACAACCCTGGTGGTGAAGCCATTCTCTTCTCATTATCTTTGGTGCTCTAAACTAAGTGATTGATTGTATTGCACACTGAATCACAAACATTAGCACACAGAGTAGGTTGCGATTTTCGAATTGCCACCAACTCACGTTGTGTCCAAGTAGAGGGTGTCAATGCAAACATGTCGAAAGCATGGATGTAGCTCCATCGCAGCACTAGCTCGGAAATCTCCCGTGTGTAGAATCGTTTTTCCGGTGGGCAGAGAAAATAATATCATCACAGCTCCCGGGCAGCTGTGGAATAAATTCTTTCAGATTTACAACAGATTGCCATGTTCATTTCACATCAAAAAATCATTTGACATGAGTAGAGTAAAATACCTAGTTAGTATTGTGACATTTATACTGCATACCACTTACTTTTCAATTATTCTATGAGAACATTAAAAAGGCTTAACAAACTGATTAACTACAGCTACATCATGTGACACAAATATAGATAAATTTAGAGTGATTTGGGTGGAACTTATATAAACACATGCAATAGCAATCTAAATTATAGCATACTTTACAAATCTTCTCATGTTTTGTCTATTTGCTCATAATGTCTCACTAACATATTGTCATGAGTAGCACATTACAACACATGTATGCTAAAAACAGTGCAACTGCAGTATCAATCGGGTAGATTAGGAATAAAAATCTAATATTGCTAACAGAGTGTTATAGAACAGTATATATATGTTACTTACTGGTTGGCATCTATTAATGTGACACAGATATCCATTACAATACATTCTTCATCCACGGGCAATACATGAATATACCGGCTATCCAGTTGCATCCGCAGCATGACCATGTTTGCAGTTACCTGGCAACACAAGAGAAGAATCTTAGCATCTCCCTACAAACTGCATATGCATATGTACGTGCAAGAATAGCCAATTGCCAGTATATAGGAAAATGGAACAGTGCCACACTGTGACAGTTTCCATCCCATTGCTAACCTTATATCCATGGCATCAAATGTCAAACAAATTTGATATCATTGCTTTATGTGGCCCAAGTAGCGACCTATGTTGTGCAGTTCTACCCTAGTGACCAGAAACTGATAACACTCTTTAGACCTGTGTTTTCGGCGGTTATACCTTACTGCAGTAGATTGGTCCATGGGTGAAATGCTTGCTGAGACCTATTGTATGGTCGTAGTGGAAATGTGTCAAGAAATAAGCTCTTATTCCAGGTATGGCTCCATAATTAAATGCATCCACAGCAAATCCAGTGTCTAGAATATAACACAGTCTCATGCATCATGATATCTGTAGTAACCACTGAAAAAGTATTATGACCACTTTTGGTAGGATTTATGATACAATGATAATAAAAGCAACAACACAAAATAAGGCCAACACTCACACCTATCACAATAGTATCACACACACAGTATAACAATAACTAGGTTTACTGGACAAAGCCTGTTACAGAAACCAAAGCAGTGAATTTACTGAGGGTGCTTATGCTCCAGGATTGGAACTGAAGGACAAAAACAGAACAAGAAGACAATTTACAACAATTACGTATTAAATTGTGAGAAAGATGTAGGTAGTAATTCTGAACCAAACCTGGTATTTTTTTGTACGATGGACACTTCCTTGTTTGCTCACTTTCCATGGATGTCACAGGCCTCTCTCCAATTCTCGGCACAGGTTTCAGAGCTTCCTTGTCACCGTCTGGGGTCTTGGGGATCCTGCCGCGTGATGAAGTGAGACCGCCGTGCGAAGAAGGCTTCCGATTGGAGCCCACGCTTACTGCTCCTCTTCCACTCTTAGAATAGGAGACAGGGAAGTAATCTGTCAGGGAGCGCTGCGTAGTTCTGGAAGGCACTTGGCTGGCTGTCTGGCTAGATAGCTGATTCACCATTGGTGCTGCTGTCTCCTGCTGCGTAAGTTCCCCACAAAAAATACCATCATCAGTCTCACTACTGTTCTGGGTGGCATTGCTACCCACATCTTCACCATCCGAGCAGTCGTACCGATTCCGACTCCCTCCTCCATCAGAGTAAACCTCGCAATGATTACTCTCATTAGCACCAGGTGTCTGGCAACTCTGCTTCGTCAAAGACAGTAGGCTCTCGCTGTCGCTGGACGAATCAGTCGACAGGCGCCGCATGTCCGCTGGTTGGAGGTATTCGCTCGCGTCTGGTGCCATGTCAAGGTCTGCTGGGGAGACGCAGCACGAATGCAGCGATGAAGAAGCAGCATCACCTGCAGGAAGGCACCTGAGGGAGGAGGCAGAGGCCTGTCGACTCCGGGACGTAGAGGAAGGTGACACCGCCGCCGCCGCCACAGTCCGCATCTGTGGCTCACGTCGCAATCGAGTCGTCAGGTTTGCACGATTCTTTGGGTTTGACCTGCAAATTTGAAATATTTAATAAATGAAATATTACGCCATTCAGAATCATTCAGATGTTCACAGATACCTATAGTATAAAAACAAATCAGTAAATCAGTATCAGTAGTGAATGGAAAACTGTTAAGACTTCCAATAGTGTACCATAACCCGACCCTATGCAATCTCTTTTCTATTTATAAATAAATTACGAATAACATAGCTGTTGTTTCAGTATAGTACCTTCGCTGTACTGTAGAGCTCGATTGTAGCAGACCATTTCCTTTGGTTGCACACTGCGAGGTATTAGCTAAACAATTCAACAATTCTGGATCCCCAGCATTTACTGAAAAGATGGCATTCATTAGATTAATATAATTTTACACATGGCCAAATACGATATATTTTACATTATCCCATTATTTATCACACTAGGATCTTAATAGTTTCATGTAAGCAGGACTTTATTATATATATGAATGTGTTAATACCTGAACATTCTTGTTTTGATGCATTTGCAATCTCGTTGGCTAACTCCTGGTGAAGAAAACGTCTGAAATGGCTTGGTATGGTCGAGCTACAGTACTTTCCATCTGGACATTCTGTTTGTAATTAAAAGTCTGAGATGCAATGTAATCACGAAATTACAGACAGGCACAATATACATAGTTAAGCAGCAGAACAAGATGTTAGCACAACAACGTTTTCAAGAGATACCTTCAGTGGCAATGACTTCCTTTTCCATGCAAGCATTAGCATGGAAGGCTAAGGATTCCCCTATCAATGCACTCTGTGGCAAATGACAGTGGGGGCAGTGCAGATCAGTGGTTTTAGTTGCTCTCCCCTTCACAAGGTTTGCATCGAGCGTTCTTGTTACAGAATGCCTGCAGAATTTTATGAATGCTTACTCTGTGGTAATATCCTATATTTAAGCGATGCATTCTAGAAAAAAAACACCCGTAAGTGAAAATCTGTATCTTAAATCAAGTATTCCTATTGCCTTCCATTACATAACTGGAGGTGCTTTGCCACAGAACATCTTTTAGTTAAAAAGGTACTAGAAGTGGTGATGGGAATCGGCTGGAATTTCATAATTGATTATCGGTTTCCCTTAACCAATCGATAATCGATTATAATCGGATAATCGGTTAATAATAGCATAGATTTAATTTAATCTTACTTTGTATATATACAATTATACATAGCATTCAATATTATCATGGTTTATGATCATGTATTAACTCTGTGAAGGTTGCTGTATGTATATCAATGTCTGTTCCTATACAGTATTTAATCAATTTAAAAAGAAATGGTTTAAATGCCTTTATTAAAACATTAAAAATTTTAAACAAACATGATCAAGACTTCTCTTGTTTTAAATGTTTGCCATGCTTGCCACAACTCTCACGTCTCGTGTTACAGTGTGAGAATTTGTCTTGTTGTGCAGAATAAATTCATGACCACGTCATTTTTCATCAAATATTATTTATATGTGGTTATAGCCATCATAATATGCATAAATTACTGTTATGTACAATAAATGTGTATGAATTTGAATTTTGTGATCGATTCTCATCCAATCAGCAGCCTTGTGACATGAAATTATGAAGTTCCTGTTATCGTGAGTTTGCTCGTAGCTACGATGTGTTTCTGTCAACGCTACTCTCGTAGCATTAACATTAGTCGTAAGTGTTATCGTAGCATTAACATTAGCATTAACTTTACGATGTTTCTGACAATGGGCCCCTGCAGGACTTGTGCTCTACTTGTCATATCAATTCACACATCGTGAGTACAGTTCCTTGTTTGTTTGTTTTGGTATTTCCGATAATCGATTATTTGTTTTCATAATCGATTATCGAATTTGAGACTATAATCGATCGATTTTCGATTATAATCGATCATCGGGACATCACTAACTAGAAGGACGATTATGAATGCAATTAAACATTTATAAATACATATATTGATTCCTTAATGACTTAATACTTAGAGAGAAAGTTAATTAAATCAAAATAAGAATCACTGGGGGAGGGGCAATATTACCAACTAGCTCGCTCATCACTATCATTATTGGGTTTGGGTGTTTCAGGATCTAACCTGGAGGAAAACATTTCTCTAAAGTTGGTTGATGTTTAAAGCAGGACCTTCTCATTGTACAGCTCACTGTAGCAGTTAAAACGGATAAACCTCGCAACAAAAAGGTCTTATAGACCTACTGTGAGCATACTTGCAGTGTGCAAACATCACGAAATGTCCTCATTGAGCCAGAAATACATGTGCTCCGAAGTTGATTATTTTGAAAACTCTGTCGGACGCGGTTTCGTTACACAGCTAGCAGTAGCCCTACGCTAGCACAAATAGTTGCTGGAACGAAAACACTATATTTGTTTCCTGATTGCATAAGTAATATAGATAACGATATGATTGAAACAAATGTCAAAATTTAGTAATGAATAAATGTCGAATAATGAATTATAACTTGTTTTATCACAGAAAAGAACTGTTAATGAATCGAGCCGATCGCTCCGCTGTGTCCCGGATGTGTAAACATCACTGTGGTGCTACGTTCATAAGAGAAGTAATTTCGTTTAGATTTTGAGAAGAAATGTTATGAAAGTAGCAATACAAATGAGTTGTAGTGAATTTTTGCAACATATGTAAGCTCACAGTAGGTATATATATGCATTTAGCTGCGAGGTTTATCAACTTTAAGGGAACTGTGAACAGCTATCGAAATAATATTAGATGCAGGTGAGACTGATTACAGGAACACGAACATAAACATTGCACATGTTGGTAAACTAGTGTAATGTGATGGTACACTACACATATGAAGATGACCGTATTACGTATGTGCAAATTGTCGTATCTAGAGCTATGAGTTATGGTCAGTTTACAAATTCGCAGTGGCTACGCGTCCGTAACCGGTCGCCTAGCCTCCAGGCTATGCATCCGGAAATCTACTCACACAGTGATCGCGCGACTCACGCACATGCATGATTGCGAAACGGGACGCTCTGCTGATTGCCGAAAACATACAATAGCGTCTATCCTTTCATCCGTCCTCTCTCTCTCACACACGCACAGCTCTCTCTCGCTCTCTCTCACACGCACACACACACCTCTAGCTCTCTCCCCCTCTCTCTCTCTCTCTCTCTCTCTCTCTCTCTCTCACACACACACCTCTCTCTCTCTCACCCACACACACACACACACTCGGCAATCAGCAGAGCGTCCCGTTGCGCAATCATGCGTGTACGTGTCGCAAGATCACTCACTGTGTGAGATGGATGTCCGGACGCTTAGCCTAGCGGCTCCTCGTCCGGAACCGGTCGCGTAGCCACGGCCTTACAAATTACGTATGGGCAAATTTACTCAACCTGAACTGACATAACGTGGGGTATGACTATACAATGTTGTCTTTCACATCAGAGGTTGGCCTCCAGCTCCTTTTATTGCAACGATTTAAAAAATATATTTTTAGCTTTATTAAGAATAATCTATAAATTGTGAAAATGAGTTTACCTGGCCTTTTTCACAGCTGACGACGACTGTGGTCTCTGAAGTTCCTGCAAACGGCAAGGATTACAAATGCATACGTACATTTTGTTAATTTATAGTAGTATTACTATTAGTGCATAATACATGCTATTGTATTTGTAATGGTGCGTTTTAAATAAATTAGGCCTAGTTGTCAATGCAGCGAAGGTTGTACCTACTTCTAGTAATTATAGTACAGTAGTATTAGTAACTAATACTAATACTATCAGTAATAGTAAGACAATTTTTAAATCTAGATGCTCTAAAATGCTATTTACCCTTTAGATTTATGATTTTTTGCCCTTTAGGCTGGGGCCCGTAGCGTTTTGCTACGACAGCCCTACGGCTGTGACGCACCTGCATACATGCGTTGCGTATGTGGTTATACACCATAGTCGCGAAGTATAGCGCGAAGTATATAAGCGAACCGAGTCGGTTTATAGTTAGTGTTAGGATTAGGGTTGAGGTTAGGATTAGGGTTAGGGTTAGGGTTAGAGAGTAGGCGCCTCCATAGACTAGAATTATATTACCTTTATGTAATACAACATGAACAGCGCATGCGCAACAACTGCTCGGACGAATAGCGCATACGAACAGGTGTCCGATGCTCAGACGAATATCCACGTCCTTACCACTGGCAGCAAGAACAAGCCTGTTATATATAGTCAATGGCCGCGTGTGTGCTGTACGTGCGGGCTTGTTCTTGCTGCCAGTGGTCTAGCTCTAGTACTATAGCCCGCTTACATTAACTGCCGCTGGGCTATAGAACGACCCATAGGGCATGCGATGGACCAACTTATCCCCAATTATATCTGGCTATAAAACGTCTGTGGTAGGCAATTAATGCCTTTTATTTGAAGTGAATATGTCTTAAGTTATAGCCGCTACTAAAATTGAACCTCTAACTATCGTTGCAATGGTATACTTGCGGTATTTCTTGTGAACGAACATTCGATTTGCGAACTTCAAACGGCCATTTCTGGTGGTGCTGCAGCAGCGCCAGTCAGCGGGAACTATGTATTTCCGCACGTGGAGGGGTGGGCGGGTTAGGGTGGTTGTGGACAAAAACATTGTTGTTGTCAAGTAACAAATTAGGCGATCAAAAGAAATTGTAATATTAGTTTTGTCATGAAAGATGAACAAATTACTAGTATTATTAATTTGTTACTTGACAACAACAATGTTTTTGTCCACAACCAACACAACCCGCCCACCCCTCCACGTGCGGAAATACATAGTTCCCGCTGATTGGATGGAGTAAGTTGGTCCCCGAGCATTCGTAATGGCTGATGCTATAGCCCAGCGGCAGTTAATGTAAGCGGGCTATAGTACTAGAGCTACCAGTGGTCCTACTAATACTAGTAATACTATTACTAATACTAATAGTAATACTAATAGTATTACTAATAGTATTAGTAATAGCATTACTATTAGTAATAGTATTAGTAATACTAAGTAATACTAAGTAATAGTAAGTTACTTCAATACTTGCACAACCAGGTTATGAGACTAACGTTAATACACGTTTTTTGACACGAGGTATTGCAATAATGATTTCTTAGACTAAGTTAGCGCTAGTTAATAATATAGAGAGAATAGAATTGTCTAATCCTTACCACCACATTTTTTAATTTAGGCCTACTTGTTTTTTCGCGCCCGTGTTTCGACGCGCGTTGTGCATCTGTATGCAGTAACCGCGATTTACAATCGGTTTTAGTAAATACACTAGCTGTTGAGTATTCCCAAATGCTAGATTCGTCGTCACTTTCCATAACTAAACTATTTACTTTGACACGACATACACACATAACAATACCCCATAAAAATAGATTACTGTACACTCTGTTTATACATCATCCATGCCATATGTTTATCACACGACAAGTGAAGATTCCCATACATCCCGCTAGGAGACGATATGGCGCCCTTACTCTGCACCCACAGCCAATCACAAATCACGTCTGTAATCATACTGGTAATGGCCGCCAGAGGCATCATGTCTATCTTTTGTTATTGTTTGCGTTAAATTTACAGGTAATATAACATTTAATGTCCTGTTTGTGTTCTTCGTAGTTATCAAATGTGTAGGGGATTTAGTTAACATAGCAATAAACAGCATAGTATAGTTATTGACTAGTTACAAAACCCTTTATGGGTTGGGTGGTGCGACCATGATTCACCATGGAAAACGACAGCACGCAACTTTCAAATGAAAACACAGAAAATGCCGAATCGACGTCACTAGAATTCATCAGAGAACAATCATGCTATCGGGTTGTCTGTAATAATCGTTTCTAAAGCGACAGAGCTCTTAACACGCGTCTCTGTTGTCCTAAAACATCACGCAAAAAGTAAAGGTAATTTGTAAATACAAGTCTACACTAACAGTACAGTAACACTAACACTGTAACAGTACACTACAATGAGTCGAAAAAGCATTCATACTGATAGTAATAGTAAATGGGTTACAGGCGATACGCTATACGTCTACTACTACTAGGTCTAGTTGTTGAGGTAGTGGTAGTACCGTGAGTAGGTACCTACTGAACAGGTATAAAACATGTTCCAGTATTCAATGTGAGACAGGCTCTTAGTATAGCCTATAGGATGGATCTATAATTGACTTGTGCAGTTACAACCTAAGTGGTTTCACTTACATACAAAATCTGTTTCTTAAGAAAAGTAGCGTGCTTCGATAACTATTACAAAAAGTATCTGATTTAAAAGGTTCAATGTACAGGTTAATGCCAATGTTAACAGCAGCATTTTTTTATTCTGTGAGCACATGTGAAAGGCCTGCAAATGGAAAAACGGAGTGTACAACTTGAAAAAAAAAAGTTATTGCATAAAACGGCATCATTCACTAACAGTAACATGTCCAAATTGTACACAAATTACAAATCGTCGAGGTACACAGTATCAATAAATGCAATAGAAGTTTGTTCATTGTTCCCTTTAAAAGTTAACATTATCAACTTCGTACTTTACTTTGCATTTTGGAACCACCGGTAGCTGCATGGTATATTATAACAAATTATATTCTTTTATTCGAAATCTAGCAGGTGCATATAAAAGCGTAGCTCTAAGACTATAGCCCGCGTACAGTTGCCGCATGGCTATAGAACATTCTATGCCAGTTTTAGTGACTGTACCTGCTCCCCACTGCTTCCACGAAAAATGGCTCACAAAACGCAAAATGATCGGGCTTTTTAACACTTGTTTATCTACATGCGCTGCTGCATTATTAGCATGTGAGTAGAAAGGCCAGAAATGTAGTGGCAGTACACACCTAAATCCTAAATCCTGCACAGTTGGTCTACTTGTTTATGTAAGGCTTGGGGGCAGTATACTCTGGGCAAACCGATTCATTAGCATACAATGTGCATTTTTAGACCATATAACAGCATTTGCCATTACTCGCATATTGCTGCCATTAAATAATGTAGAAACTGTATTTAAGTGGGTGCTTAAGGCTGTTATGGCGAACTATATTAGATCTCGCTTAGAATTTGCTGTCACTGTTTCAGTGTTATAAAATATTAAAATGAACTGATTTAACGCATATTTCAGTGTAGCTCCAAGAAACGGTCTTGTTAGGGTTAGAAGACCATTTCAAACATTGGCTGCAGCTAAACATGTAGTTGTCTTATTTGCCAAGTATTGCCAAAGAACACTTCACATGTCATATATACCAAATGAATCAGCATGCATCCACCTTCTTGTAACCATCAGTGCGCTATGATGCGCTGGGTACTTACGGGGTTACAGCGACTTTTTGAGATGAATGCAACCAAATTTATGAATTCACCATCATGTTGTATCATTCCGACTGTGACTAAAATCCGCAATGGATCGCACAAGGGAGATTAAATGATCTGCGGTCCTCATGTAAACCACCCCTACATCCGAGAACATGTCATCTAAGGTTTTTACAAATGGCCCAGACATTTGTGAACATCATTTCACTTGCTTTGGTGTGTAATTGCCGTGAGAGCCATCGTGCGGCTATTGTACAATTTTTATAGTGTTTTCTAGCGAGTGTTTTGCGTTTCGGGTTTTCCGTGTCTCTTTTCCGTTGAGCATGCGCAGTGTAAACATGGCGGGTACACAATCGTGGAAAGCTGCTTGGAAAGTTGATATGCTGTGAGAATTAGCAGATTATACCATGAATTAAGAGATACATTCTAGTTTAGAAGCAGGACAACTGTGAGTTGACATTCATATTTCAGACAAGACAAGTCAAAGGTGGTAATAGAATAGTTTTATTTGAGATATACAGAGTTATTCATTTAGATCTGCAGAGGTGATAGGTTTTTTGTATGGAAGGGTGTCAGGCTGTATAGACAATCGGTCGCACAGCCTGGTCGGGCTAATTTCAGTGCAGAATATATAATACAAGGTAGCTAGTACCTCATAATTACAATTTTTTGTGGACTGTGCTACTTCAAAGTGTAAACAAAACCAGGCATGACCTAAAGATTACTTGTTCATCAATTAGTATCAGCTAATAAAAATGTGATGTTGCACTTGAAATTTTGAAAGTAGATATGAAAGCATTGCCAATAATTATTGTGGTGGACTATCGTGTTTAGCATTAAACTTTTTATTTCGAACATAATCTCATGTTTTCCCCACTTTTACAACATTTGCCATTATTGCTTGAGTAACGATGAAATGTCTTAGAACCTTCGTATTCACCAAAACATGCACAATTCGAATTTTGATTTATACTAGTTGTGATTATGGCTGCCATTTGTTGCTAATCTCGGAGCCAGATAATAGCACCAGCTATCAGCCAATTTCAGAAGATAAACGGAGTCAACGACACCATAGACTACACATAATAAATAACAGAATCTCAGATGCCCATTTGTTTACAGTTTTAGTGCACCGACAATTTACAAATTTGCCCATTCTGACTAAGGCACCATTCTCGCTACACGATAAAATGCCATGGTGTTACGATATGTTCATATCCAATTTGCTATGCTATAAAGTATAAGTATATAACTGCATAATATCTTAGTGATTTTCAAGTTGGTGTAATCAGTGATATATCTGCTGTGAGGTGAGACTATATTTCGCTATATTTTTTCTAATTGAGCGTTTCTGAGCAATAATCGCACAATAAAAAATTTAAGGAAAAGGATTTGTGTTATAGGTTAAATAACTTTGAAGGTAAGTGTGCACAAGAATAAGCTATAAATCCTCTCACTATCCTTCCCTAAACCGAACCATAACCTAATCATGGCCTGATTATGTGTTTATGTAGGGTCCTAAAGTAAGCTTGATCTAATTATGTCTGTATTCATCCTTGGCAGTCAGGGTAGCAGAAATTTCCTGCCCGTGTTAGAACTCCACGTGAATTTTTGGTAAATACATAATGTGGCAGGCACCTCCCCAGGAATTTCAGAATTTATGTCATTTATGGATTGGTAAGAGAGAGGGCCCATGAAGGGGTTGTATCATGTGGTGTCCTAATGCATGTCATCAGTGGCCCCAATATGCAGGTAAACTTAATATGTATAGCTTGGTCAGTTGAAGAAATTTGTGAGGAAAGGTACAACAGCAGAGCTTGGGTGTGGAACGCAACCTCCTCCCTGATTCTTTTCACAATATTCTTTGTGACAGCCATGATGCTGTAAAGCTGATTTGGCCTTCCCTTTAACTACCAACGCTAATCCGTGGTAAGTGTTGGGCTAAAGTTTCTACACAGTATTAGTAACAGGTGGTGTTCTGTAGAAGAAAAAGGTAATAATAGAATCTATTCACTGTAGAGATATACGTAGTTGACAGAGTATGCGCCGGATACCCTAGTCAACATCTATTTGTGTTCAACATGAGCATTCGACAATTGCCATTGCTCACAGTGAGCATGGGGAGTGCATAGCCTCCCTGCCTTTTTTAGCTCATCTGACATAGTCAGATGCAGCTTGTATGAATCGCATGAGCGTGCGTCCGTCCGTCCGTCCGTCCGTCCGTCCGTCCGTGCGTCCGTCAACAGTTGGGCACAAATTCTAAACGGCTCGACGTACGGATTCAAGTCGGGACGTGGGGGGTAATCCGAAAACGAGTTGGGGTGTCGAAGCTGGGGTCAAAGGTCAAAGGTCAAGAGGTGTAAAAAAGGGGGAACATTCCCTCCTTAACTTAAGGTATAAGGAGGAAATGCAGAATTGCGGCACAAATCTAAAGCGCTCGGCCTAGGCTCGTGATAGTCGGTGTATAGCATCATGGTAGGAAAAGCCATCACTGTGCCGAAATTGGAGGTCACAGGTCAAAGTCAATGGGGCACAGGGCAGATTTTAGACATTTTCTGGGGACATAGTGTGACGGAGCGATTGGAAAACTTTTGTTTCAGCGGTGACCTAGCATTTTTATGGCTTTATTGAAAGGACCATGAAATGTGCTTTCCACTGACGTGCGAAGAGTAAGTGTCTGATAATCTTTTGACCCTCAAGAGGGAGGGATTTAAACATGGATTGTTAACTGTTACTGTGTTAGAAAGAATTTGACTGCTGGTTTGCTAGTAGAATCTATACATGCCTGGATGTATGAGCTACAATGTCACAGTGAAATTTCAAAAGCTAAATTTGGTTGAAGAAGGTTTATGCTCCTTAAATCGGTATAATTCTATGGCATTCTGTACTGTCAGTGTGTTAATATGCCACTGCCAGTGGCCACTGCCAGTGCATGTGGTGGTGATAGTATGGTGTAGTTTTTGCCTGCGTTAATTAGGTACAGGTGGCAGCTCTCTATTTCAGGCCTGTAGCTTGTGTAGGTAAATGGACGCAGTGCTTACCTATTCTGTCTTGCAAATAGTTGTTATATACTACGTACGATGGAAGCTTCCAGCTACCAACGTACGCGCCATCTCGTGGCAACTTTCATAACGATCCCAACGAACATTTCTTCGAGAAGGCTCCTGATACCATCCCAGTGTTTGAAATAAGGGCTATCCGTTTGTTCGTACTTGTCCATTTCCACGGAGGACAAGTGATCTGTCAGGTAGCTGTCTGCCGGACAAGCAGCTTTTT